GGAAGCCTTCGTGCGTCTCCATGCCTCCGAGCCTCCCGTCTGCCGAGCGGTGAGGCGGCGCCTCGAGGTGCGGGGGGGGGGAGGGGTGACGCTTGGCGAGGCTCAGTACAGCAACTGGGTTTCTCCGAGCACTGAATCGATCTCCTGGACACGCGTGAAAAATGAGCTTTATAGCTATTCGGGTTCTTCCGGTATGTATGAATATTCCCATTCGGATCTGGTGGCCAGGCGAAGGCAGCTCGGCGTAGAGAATTACGCCGAGAGGCAAGAGAGAGACGGAGGAACACGCGGACGAGGGAACGGCCGCGAGTTAGGGACCCCGTGGAATAGCGCCGTGGTGCTTGGGCAGGGAAAACGGCGCTGCCGAGACAGCGGCGTGGAACCGGACGCGGCCCACAGCGACGTTCGCCGTTACCATGAGGGCCGCTCGTCGTCCGCTACGGGCACGACGGCCCCCGTCGATGCCCTCGCAACTCCGATTGATCAATCGATCGATCGACTGACCTGGGCACGACACGGCGCTAGAAGGCACGACGGCCGGCAGTCGAGGCCAACAGCAGAGTGTACAGCCGAAGGAGGGAATGGCTCTGGGGTAGGGACAGGACGGAAGGCGTCCGCCCCAGAGATGGAGCGATAAATGAATAGATTAGGCTCGTCTGGCGACAGCAAGATGAGCTTTCGCATCGCAAGGGCCTCGAAGAATGGCAACTGCTCCAGCAGTGGATCGACCCTGGCTGCTGCTTATGATCATAAACTTGTTGCTTAACCACGACGGCAGTGCCCCCCCCCCCCTTCACCTCCGCTGTTGCCATGAGCACTTGCTCGGTAACAAATACGCACTGTAGTGGGTTAACGTTTCAGGCATTGGCTCCTTGTCAGCCAGGGGAGGGAGGGAGGAAAGAGTCTGGGCGGGGGGGGGGTGCAGATGGGTCTCATCCACAGCAGCCTCTCCTCTCCATGACACCAATGCCCCCCACGAGTCTGCCCATCGTCCCCGCGCGCGTTTGAAATTCAACAAACAAAAAATATCGCCCTTTGTGAAAACGCAGCCCCAAAGGCCCGGCATACGCCAAGTGGCCCACAACAAACAACAAACGGCAACTCCTGAAGTTACTTTGCGTGTGCTTGCGTCGGGTTTGTGGGCGAGCGTGCGCGTGTCGCCGCTCACGCTCAGCATGTGACACTACTGCCCCGATCGGTGCCCCCCCCCATCCCACCCCCCCGCCGGCCTTCTGCTGTCCTCGTCCTCCTCCATTCTCCTGCGCCCGCCTCCCCACGGATTCCCCTCTCCCGGAGTGTTCACGGCCTAAGTGGTGAGGACTGGCCCCGGTCACCCACTAAAACTCGGGGCGTTTCTCCGTTGTCTGATGACGGTCGCTTTGGCTTGGGATGCGGTGAGAGCTGGGGGGGGGGGGCAGTGCATGGTGGGGGGTTACGAGATGGAAGGGGGGGGGGTTGGATGGAAGGCGGAGGTGGGGGGGATGGTAATTAATAATTAAACGGTTCCGGTTGTAATGGGTTGACCTCGCTGCGCAGATCATTACTCACGCAGCACGGGCCGGCGTCTGTGCGGCGCCCTGAGTCTCGTGCCCCCCCCCCCCCCACGTCGCCACACACCCGCCCCCCACAACGGTGCTGCCCCATGGTCCCCCCAGTGTTGCCCGATGTTATCACTCCCCCCGCTCGCCCCCCCCGCCCCCCCCCCCGCTACCGCGCCATCCCATGCTGTTCAATCCTCTGTCGTTCATTGTCTGCCCCTGTGCTGCCCTATGTTCCCCTCTGTGCCGTCACGTGGGTCTCTCAAGCAGCACTGGCCCATGTTTGTCCCTGCTCCTCTTTGCTGGACTCATATGTGCGCTCACTGCTGCCCCGTGCTACCCCTCCACCTTTTCCTTCACCCTCCCCCATGTCCCAAGATCCCAACTCCATCGCTTTGCCTGCGTTGACCGCCGCGTGCCTCCCAATGTACCCCGTGCTCCCCTTCCCGGTCCGGGGTAGACATCCTATAAGTGGCAGGACCCATTTCACGCATCACAGAATACTCGTCCGATTTTTAGGGAATGCCGTGCCGATGTTTCCGTCACCAAGAACATGGAAATTCGCCGAGATGGTGATGCTGTTTGCGGCCGTTTCATCAAATACATCGAGATGTGAATCAGCCTTGTAGAGTATCGCCTACCTACTTTCTGTGCTGCCTCCTCCCACACGGCTGGAACATCGGCGCATGCCCTTAAGATTTTGGTTGTACCGTCAGCCTCTTGCAGAGTGTTGTTCGTGTAGGAATCTCCTGGTGGTCGCTCGTTGTAGAGATATACCTCTGCAGGCAAACTGCAAAGCACAAGTTTGCTTTCAGTGACATTTCCTAATAAAAAACATTTCTTTTTAATTGTGATAGGGCTTTGTACCAACTTTACTGTTCAATTCGCGTAGTATTTTATGTTAAATAAAATTTTGAAAGCCCTCGTTTAGATAGCAGAGCAATGTGATGCGAACGGGAGTCCTCTCACCAATAACATCCGAGAAGCCAGAAATATTTGTGTAATCGAGTCCTAACTGTGCCGGTTAGCCCCAAATGGTCAAAATCCCATCCACACTTTGCACGTGAAAAAAAATTCTGCTCATTATCACAATTCTGCAAGGCCAGAAGGCCGGGAGGGCAAAATACAACGCGTGCTAGGTTTTCGTCGCCAAGACTGGGATTTGTAATCGATGTGTGGGTTAGGCTGCGGAATGTCGCAAAGGATTGTGTGTTTCCCGACGGAGGCCTGGGCTTAGCTGCTACCTGGAAGCTCAGGCCCCAGGTTTCAACGGTTCCAGTTTACTTCGAACACAGGGACTTTACCGTCTCAGCCATCCCAACCGTCTCTTCAGAGATGCGAATGTTATTTGACAGTGGAGCTACCTTACGCTACGGTGGCAATATCGTGACGAGCGCCACACGTCGCAACTTGGTATCCGATGGGAAAGCGAGACTCGCTAAACGGCGTTTACTGCGAGCGAGGCTCTCGCACGTGCGCGTGTGTGTGCGCGCGCGTGTGTAATTACTGATCTCGTTTCGCTGATAATTGGGAGTGCTAATTGGCAAAGGCAATGACATGTGTGTTTACTAATCACAGCGGAAGCTCCATTTCTTGTGCCTTCGCCGCCTCCTCCTCCTCCTCCACAGCCCGACGTGCCGTGCGGCGTCAGACTCGGCAAATTCCAGCCGTGGGAGATGCTCGCACGATCGCTTGGGGTCTAGGGGGCAGAAGAGTGGTGGTGGGGGAGGGGGGGGGCCGGGGGATGGAATGATGGGTGGGGGTAAAGGGGGGGGGGGTGGGAGTGTTCGCTGCACGCTCGCTAATTGCGCAAAGTAACTACCTCGCCCGCCACGCACCCCTCGCGACGCTGTAAGCGAAATCGAGAAGTCGGGCGCGGAAGGCGCGCGAGCCCCGCAGTGTTGAGGGATTAATGTTCCAATATTTCCGCCGTGCCCTCCCAAGTGTTGCTCGCTTGTTCGTAATGGACGCTATTATCTCCCGAGCAGCTTCGTAACATTCTGCCCCCGTGACGGATAATGGCACGGCCCTGTTTTGCATGGGAAATACCCCCCCCCCCCACACCCCCCCACCATGCTACCGCGAGGCGACGGAAAACGCCTCCGCCTAATGCTGCCTCTTTTAGCGGAGTTGCAGAAATGTAATTTTGACGAAAACAAATGGTTGTACTTTAAATACGTTTTTCCACGATCGATTTAGTCGCCGCCGCTTGATTGATGCGCCACTCTGCTTCCTTCAAACGGCGCACATAGATTTTCCAAAAGACTTTTTTACGTTTTGCCCCGGGGCGCTTTCTGAGCGGTGCACGCGATGATGTATCGCTCGTTTAAGCGGTTTCAGCAGCGCAGAGCCGCATGAGATTGGAACGCTTGTCTTTTGTTAATTACAAAGACATAAAACTCCTCCTGCGCACGCCCTGCAAGAGCGGACAGAGCGCGGGTCAGCAGGGAGAGGACGCGCGGGGTCCCGCATCTAATTCACTCGTCGCTCCGTCGCGGAATAAACGCACGCACGAGCCCACTGGCCGAAGAGCCTTGCAGTTGGTACGATGTGTGCGTGCCTCTCCCATCCCCTTCCCTCCCTCCCTCCCCTCCAACCCTTCCCACCCATGCCACGCGTCACAAAAAAGCTTTGTTCCGCAAAGTTTTTTTTGTTCCGTGGTGACGTGCACATTTTTCAGGTTTCTTTTCTTTCTCCCGACGAGAATTCTCTGCCGTGCTTTTTAAACGCCGCAGCAACGCGACACGGGTACCTAACGCGCGTGGTGAATTGGTCATGGGGTGGAGGGACGTGGGAACGATGGCGCACGCTGCGATCTGGATTAGATACCTGGCGACGGATGAGATCGTTGGCGAGTGTTATCCGAACCAGGCCTCGCACCTCCGCTAGGTCGGCTCCGCCTTAAATGAGTACTTGGTGCGATGCGCGACGATTATCACCAGGGAGATGAAGACGGCCGTGCGTGGTGCTGGCAATGCCACTCGCTCTTGTGACCTGCCCGGCCTTAATAGGTGCTCGCTAGCAGCACTTGCCACAGCAGCTTGTTAAAGGCAACACGGTGGGATCTTTGCCCTTGTGCGTGTGTTGCCCACACATTCACGATTCGCGGTGTTCTGGGCCTTTAGTTGTGCGACGCAGTGGTGATTTGCGCAGCATCTAAATGCGATTGCATCTCAGGGTGCTGGACGGAAACAGCGGGAATATTTGTTTTCTCGAGAGAAAGAGGGAAGGTCTTAAGCATGGACGTTGAACAGGGGGGAGCTGGAGTCAACAGCATGGACCGGTGGGGGAAAGGGAGTTGGGAGTTCCAGTCTATGGGAGCAGCACAGGAGAATGAGCAAATTCCCACCGAGTGTTTAATTTTTCTGCACCGCTAACGAATGTCTTTGTCTTTTCTTCATTCCCCCCCCCTCCACCACCAACCGTGACCCCCCCCCACCCTCCCCGCCCCCCACAAACCAGAACCCTCCCACGCTACCGGCGGGACAGTTCTGCGCCCCCTTCGAGCACTTCATCACGCAGTGGTGAGTGAGCCCTTCGCGCCGTGGGGAGGTGATGTTGATCTTCCTCCGAGAATCATTTTCGCCCCCCCCCCCTCCTCCTCCTCCTCGTTTCCTCTCCCTCTACTGCTCCTCATCTTGTTCCGCCTCCCTGCGTCCTCTTCATTTCCCTCATCGCTAACGCCAGCCACGCAAGGTGTGATGACGCGTCGATCCGCCGATTCAAGAAACTGGCCTACCGCCTAGCGATGTACGCAGTGCAGGAGGGTGGTGCCAGTCCCAGTCTCCCTTCCCGGCCGCGTTTCCAGTGTTGCCCAGTAAGCCAGCAGTGGAGATCATTCTCATCATTACCGGACAACGTTCAAGCCAGTGCCGAAGGAAGCCTCCCAAAGCCACCGCCATCTCGAGTGATATTGCGGCGTGATAATCCACCGAGCAAGTGCAGCTTCACACAAACCATCGTCGGCCTATGATGAAACCACTGCTGGATGACGACCGTCCCATGCCACGGGCACCTCTCACCGTGTGGCATTGCGACGCAGCAGTCCACCTCGCTCTCCAGCACACGAGCCGAATCCATCGCTCAGTCTCCACCGCGGAGGTCCCCTTTCGCGCGCCCCCTCATTTGGTCGCTGCCCCACGGGCAGCCTGGGCCACCGTCCGACGTGACGGCGGCGGTAGCCCTGGATCGAACTATAATTATTAATAATAATAGCAGTCGGTGGTGGCTACGGACGCCTGTAACCCAGCAGCACTGCACTGTGGAGGCGAGCGTTTGGTGATGAAACTCCCTTCTCGTAAGCGGTGTCCGGGAGCTGCCCATAGCCTGGCTCGGCAGGAGAAGGCGGCACATCAAACGTGAACCCCCCACCTGTTTCAATCTGTATGGGATACGGAGCATTGCCCCCCCCCCCCACCTTCTCCCGCGATTGGGTTTACTCCTGGCGCTCCGTTTTCCTCCCACGTGCACACACTCATTAATTAGCCGATAACACCTCAATATATGGAGGACCGCAGAGCTTGGGAGGGGGGGGGTTGAATTTGACGGGGGCTCATTGCGTGGCTTCCTTTCCCGCTCGTCATTGGGTCATGCCTTTGAGCGGGCGAGTGCCGTGCGGCGTGCTACAAGTCAAATGCTTTATTATTATTATTATTGTTGTTGTTGAGTAAAGAGACCTAGTTCGTAATACATCCACAATCCACTCTCCAACACACCGGTGGGCTGAAGTAGTAACTCATGGGCACGTTCTGTTTACGTGGCAAACCTTACTGGCTGTGTCGGGTGGTGGAGGGCTACGACACATTCATACTCAGGCGATCTAACCCAAAAACCTTGATCATGAATAATATTGGTCGCCTTAGGTGTTAAACAGTTTGAACCAGGTTTCTGAAAAGTACGTACAAACACAAACGCGCTGGATGGCGCGAAGCTTTGACAGTACGACCCCTTCCGCTGAACCTCCACTTGGCCGCTGCGGCACTTTCTACGCCGTACCACGTGGAGGCTCGAGAGAGTCCCAGGTGCCTGCCGTGTGATTGTTGCAAATATTTCTATTACGAGCCGTCGAAGATCATTCACGCTCTTCAGTAAAAAAAAAACGTAATCGTATAATCAATAAGCTGCCAACGTTTCAACCGCGCACGTCTGAACCGCCGTTTAATTAGCAGCCCTCGATAACGGCCGATATATATACACCCGTATGGGCAGCCCTCTACGTCGTCGCGACAACAACAGCAGCAGCAACAACAACGATAACGACATAAAGAGCGCGGAAAGATTTGAGCAAATGCGCTGCGAGGCAAAATAAATATGAAGCGGATCCGTGTGGGTGGGGGGGTTGACAGCGCACGCCACGCGAGGGGGGGGTCACGCGGCGGAGGGAGAGGCGCCGGGCTGCGTCGCTCTCTCCGTCGGCAACGTGTGGCCCCCCCTTCCCCCCCCCCCCCCCGGGGAGTCTCATAAATTGTCGCCAAGTACTGAGAAAGTGTAAATTTCCGAATCAGTGCTTAATAGCGACGCTTCCCCCCCAGAGAGCGAGTGCCGAATCAAAGCTTCTAATCTTCACCGCGGAACTTGGCGGGTCCGGCACACGCCGCACTCCCACTAATTGGGGACATTTTTATTATTTAAAAAAAATATTTTAACCAACTACCGCTCCCTCCCCTCTCTCCTCTCTCCTACTTTCCCCTCCCACTTCCCGCTCCCTATCCCCCATCATCCTCCTCCTCCGCCGTTTCTCCACGTACCGCCACCCTCCACCACCCCCTCCTACCGCCCACGCCCCCCCCACCTCCCCCCCCCCCCATTTTTAAATTATTTTATCGTGGAATAATTTAGCGCGAGGAGCCCGACGCCGCTGACAGCCCCGGTGTTGGGCGCTGTCAGGCGCTCGCGCGCGCGCGCTAACCCCTTCGCTTTGCCCTCTGCCCCCCCTCGCGATTCGCGGCATCTGAGCGGAGGCTGTCAGTTATTAAGTGTCGTTTGTCATTACTGGCGCGGCGCAGTGAGAACCCTCGCCTGGGGCTAATGACTATTCATTTGTGACATTCATTTTCACGCCGACGGCCTCGGGTGTGAGCGCGCAGAGGAGGGAGGAGAGAGCAAGGGAAGGGAGCAAGGGAGGGAGCGAGCGAGCGAGCGTCTGTCGCCCCTGCTTTGCTCCAAATGCTATCCCGGCCAATTTTTGCACGGGGGGAAGGGGGGGGCGTGCATCGTGCGGTACGGTGGGGGGCTTCCCTCCTCACACCCTCTGCCCCCCTCTCTTATGCCCCAGCCTGGCCCCCCACTCTTGACTGTCGTCTGCCCGCGCCGCCCCCACATCCACCATATCCCTCCTCCACGCCTCGTTCTGCACATCTTAGCCTCGTGCTTAGTCTTGCTGCTTCCCCCGCACCTCCGATTAGCGCAGTTGGCTTCGTACGGTGCGAAAGAAGTTCAACATACCATACATATATTTACAGAGTCGGGGGGGGGGGGGGTGTCCCGGCCATGCTGACTTGAGCACGGGCGATCAAAGCGTGATTCCTGGTTTTGTTTGTGGACGTCGTCCGTGAAAGTGGAGCGTACGTGCGTGTCACCTCCGATCGCCCTGCACTCTCTCTCTACCCCTCCCATACTTCCCTTGCCCCCCACTCGCCCACACCCCCAGCTGTACCCCATGCTACTAATGCTCCTGTGCCCCCCCCCCCGCCCCACACTCCCAGTCCCCCCACACTACCCATGCTCATGTGCACCCCGGCACCAGCCGTTGTTGCTCCCCATGCTGCCACTGTCGTGTAAAGTTACCGCCGCCATCGTCTCGGCAACGTGTGTGTCTTTGTCGTTTGTGTTAACGTGTGTGTGTGTGTGCGTGCGTGTGTTCACGTTTGTGTTGTCTTGTGCCACAGCATGAGGAAGTTGCCAACCGAGAGGCCGGCACCAGAGGATCTCATGGTAAGGCCCAACAACACATTGTGTTCCCGTTGTCGTCTTACCCCAAATGAGTCCCGATTGTGGCCACCTGTATCACGTCAAAAGACGAAACATCCGTTCGGATCTCGCGTATCTAGCGGCGCGCCCAACCCTCTGTGCGAGAGAAGGGCCCACGGGAGCGGATGTCATAGAGCTACCTCCGAGAACCCTTCCAAGTGACCTCGAGTGCACACAGTAGGGAGCAGCGCTTCCTCGCCCGCTCCGCCTACGAGAGGAATAGCGGTCAAGCCGATATTGGTGACCGCGACGAGACCTCCACCTCGCTGCTGCCACTGAGAAACCCGGCGGCTGAAACCTGGATTCGAACCCAGGATGCCGGCTCATCGCTTTGCCACCACCGCCCCAAATAAACCTTAATAAAAAAATACAGCCCCCCACACCCCCTTCTCCATCACCTCCCCCCCCTCGCCCCCAACCATGCCCACGCCTTCCCCACCCCCGCCAGTGCCGTGCCCCCCCCTCACCCCAACAGCAACAACATCATCATCATCATCCCACAATTTCAAATCGACCCCCGATTGTACCCAACGCTTACGCCAGCCGCCAGAGCGCCGCTCGTTTGTGCGTTTAATCACCGCTTTAGAACAAAACAACAACGACGGTTTAAAGTGCAGAATCTGCAATAATGGCAATTGCTAAATTATCAGCACAAAGAAGAAAAGCGCAAAAGCTCATCTCCGTTATGGTTTAATACTTTCGCTAATGCCCGGTGCAAAATAGACCTTTGCAAAAATCTGCTTGAGTGTGACGGGTGGAGTTTAGTGGGGGGGGGGGGGGCGGGGGGGGGGCGTTTTTGCGCAGCGCAAAGTCGGACGAACGGGACGGACGATTGCGAAAGCCGAGGTAGAGCAGAGGTCACGAGCAGGCGGTGCGGAGGGGGGCGTCATGTTGCTGGGGGAGAGGGTGGGGAGAGGGAAGGGGGGGCAGATGTTTGTGCGTGGATTGTTTCAGCTAGAGATGCGATTATCCCGAGAGGAGAAATTCGTGGGTGTTTTTTTTTGTTTCCCGGAAGAGAGATGTTGGTGTAGATTAAGTCAAATAACCCCCAATGAATGGTGAAGTATGGTCAAACAACCCCTATGACTGGCAGGGCATGGGGAAGTATTTATCCAGCTGTGAATTGATAAATGTGGGCGGTTTTTGATTGTGTTTTTGCGCAGTGTGTGTGTGTGGTGGTTAGCTCACTGAACTATGCACCTGCCTACCAGAATTCCATTCCCAATCACGGCTAACATCAGTGGCGAGCGATGAATCCGAACCGGCACCCTCCCCACCTTCACCGACCTGCATTGATCAGTGTGGCGGCGAAGTATGGTCAAACAACAACCTCCCCCACCCCCCCCCCCCCCACCATGAACCACACATCATCATGAGAATCATGGATTTACAAAGGCACTATACACTATTACTGTTCTATCTTGATTTGGAGCTTTCGTGACTGCAGGAATCCATACTCTTTGGTTCTTTCGGTAAAGGCACTTAGGTATATTTATACAAATTATTTTCGTCGCAGGGATAATCGCGCGTCTTTATTTGGGGACGTGATGTTCGTGTGCGCCGTTCGGGTGGAAGGGGGGAAATTCGCGTGGATTATTCGGCGCAGGGATGTGTAGACGTGTTTCGTTTAGGGAGATACGTTTTAAATGACTCAGCCCGTGATATATTTGTGAGGATTCTTCAGGGCCCAGTGATTTGCGCGAATCCTGCGGGGGTCTCGGCTCGATTTCAATGGCCCGTGTGCGCGCGTACTTGCTTGCTTGCCTGCCTGCGCGTGTGTGTCCCCTAGGTTGACTCGGCCTCAAACGAGTACAGTGCCTGGTGCGGTGTGTAAACATTGCCACTCGGGAGACAAAGGCGGCCGGGCGTGGTGCTGGCCACCCACCCCATCGTTTGCCGTTCCGACCTTCATAGGTGCTACTCGCGAACAGCACTTGCCCCAACAATTATTTAAGGCTATACGGGGGATCTTTGTCTTCGTGTTTGCGCGTGACGCACGCGCGTCGTATCTGCGAAAGGCTCTCCCGGAGAATTCTGCAATCCCAATCATTCCTGCGCTCACGCGGCAGCCAGCCAGCGAGCCTCCCCCTCCCCCCGATCTGCCCCCCATTCCCCCCTCCCCCCTCCACACCCCCCCTCCCCCCTCCACACCCCCCCCTCCACACCCCCCCTCCCCCCTCCACACCCCCCCTCCCCCCTCCACACCCCCCCCCTCCCCCCTCCACACCCCCCTCCCCCCTCCACACCCCCCCTCCCCCCTCCACACCCCCCCTCCCCCCCCTCCACACCCCCCCTCCCCCCTCCACACCCCCCCTCCCTCCTCCACACCCCCCCTCCCCCCTCCACACCCCTCCTCCACACCCCCCCCCTCCACACCCCCCCCCTCCACACCCCCCCCTCCCCCCTCCACACCCCCCCCCTCCACACCCCCCCCTCCACACCCCCCCTCCCCCCTCCACACCCCCCCCTCACTCTCCCCCAGCTCCGAGGGAGCACCGAGCGGTCTGATCGAGCCGCGTGTGCACACAGCGAGCGAGCTGCGTGCGGGTTTGCGCGCACGCGGCTCAGAGAAAGCGGCCGCTGCCGCTGCTGCTCCCTCTAAACGACTTCAATCGCGTCGCGTTTAGCTGCCGCTCTGCGGGGGCTCGCTGGGGGGGGGGGGCACTGGGGGAGGGGACGGGAGGAGGAGGGGGGGATTACGCGCCTTGACACCCGTGGACCGTGGGCGGAGTGCGCTCTTTAGTGCCCAAGTGTTTATCAAAATGGACCTCAAAGGAGCTTAAACGAAGAGAGAGGGGGGGTGGAGGGGGATTGGTGGGTGGCGGTGGTGGTGGGTGGGTGTGGGGGCAGCACGATTTAAAAACCTCGACTATTGGACATTGAAGCGGCGGCATTTAAGGAATGACGCAATTAAGGAAGGAAGGCAAATGGGTTGTTCCGGAGATTTTTTTTTTAAGCAGGCGCGCCTTCAATTAAGGTTATTGCTTTTAATTATTAATTCACGTGTAATTAAGGCTGGCTGCGAGGGCTTTTTTTTGTCGGTTCTGACTGCTCCGCTGTGTCCCATTGGTCGTGTAGGCACAGGTGCGGTGCAGGCAATTACTTGAGATTTGTTTACAAATCGGCGCGTGCTGTAAGGCTCTTAAGGAGGGGGAAAAAAATAAAACGAAGATAAAAACTGAGCGGGACTTGATGGCTTTTCCTCGCAAGGTCTCCCTCGGCCGTTTGTTGTGTCGGGCGCAGTGTGGGATGTGTTGGGGGGGGGGGTTCTCTCGCTCTCACTCGGATTCATTACCCCGCGACGCGGCAAAAAGCACTCCGTGTTTACAGAGAGCAGTTTTTAATCACCTCTCAATATGCAATTCACTTGTTGTGATACACGGAATTCGGAGAGAGAATGTTCGGCGGGCACATACGCATGCGCGTTGAACTTCTTTCGCGTCGTACTTGGCCAAACGTGCTTATCGGAGGCGCGGAATCGATCAACCCCCAGTGCTTCCTGTGTACAACTTTACACATTTATGCCACGGCAAAGCAAATAAATTCAGTGAATAATAATATCACGTAACTGTGTTTACTGCAAGCAGACGCGGTAACCTACATCTCCAACAGAGACCGCTTGTCAGTGAGAGCCATCGCCGGTGTTCATGTGCGATAACCACAGGACAGGATGCCCTCTTGCAAGGAGTTTCATAAATAGGTGGCGGCATTGTGGGTAAGGACACGAGCGACACTACGATCCCGACGACCTGGGAGTTGAATTCCTGGATCTGGCCTACGGCTCCTCTCGGCCGGCTTAGCCTGAAACGGGCGCCTGCTCCGTGAACGTCATTAGCTGGGGAGACAAAGGCAGCCAAGCGTGTGCGTTGCGCTGGCCGTGTTACCACTCCCCTGGTGCCAGGCCAGCCTTAATAGGTGCACGTCAACAGCGATTGGCTCGGCTGCCAATGAGGCTTGCACGGAGATCTATGCCTCCGTGTGTTACGTAAAGCGAGCATAAAGATTTTTTGATTGTTGAGAAGAGGGATTAACGTTTCAGTTTATAGGCCTCTTTAATGCATGTCAGCCAGCCAAGACGTGCACTACTTCCTCTCCAATTGGTGGGAAACAATTTAACTCTCCTTCGTTAACCTGTGCTTGGACGCCAGCCTCAAATGTATTTACGCGCACGCAGAGACACGCACCTTGCAGACGCGGACACTACACGCAGACACACAGACGCCAACAGGCACACACACGTAGATACACTCGTAGACACACAGATAATACACACGTACTCGGTTACGCAGGCACAGAAAGACACACGCACGCACACGCAGACAATACACACCTGCCGATGCACAGACTGTAGGGGCAAGTGTTGTTAGCGAGCACCTAGCACAGCACACGAGGGGGCGGGTGGCCATCACGATGGCTGGACGCCTTTGTCTCCCCAGTGGCGATGTTTACACACCACACCAGGTACTTATTTGAGGCTGAGTCGACCTAGGGGACACATAGATAAGACAAAGATCCCCCATATAGCCTTAACAGACTGTAGAGGCAAGTGCTGTTAGCGAGCACCTGGCCATTGACCTAGGGGAGGCCTAAGACCGGTCCAGATAATCGTCACCAATGTGTTTGCCGTGAACGTGAATCGAACTCGGGTCGCCGCGTTCATAGCGCAGTGCACTGATCGCTGCGCCACCGCTCCCCGCGCGCTGACACGCACATCAAAGATAAATGCAAAGACCCCCCCCCCCCCCCTATATAGCCTTTACAAGATTGTTGGGACAAGTGCTGTTAGCGAGCACCTAAGTGTGTGTGCGCGTGTGCCGGCACGGATGCGCACGTGTCTACGTGTCGGCGCGAGCCCGTGCGCATTTCCTTCTCTCACCCGTTGTGACTCGGCGTGCGTCTAAAATTGAGCCAAAGCGACGGCGAGGAGAGCGGCGGCGGCGACGACGCGGCCACGGCAAAACCCG